TACACAAATGTTTAAAAAATCTTGATATAGGTTAAGTGTTTTTAAGCTCATCAAAGACAGACACTATAAGGAATAGGATGTATCAATCTGTTCCATATACATTAAAAATTCTCTAAGTGGCCCTGGCGAGTTTTGCTCAGTGGATAGAGCATCGGCCTGCAGACTGAGGGTCCCCAGTTCAATTCTAGTCAAGGGCACATGCTCAGGTTTCAGGCTCAATCCCCCAGTAGCGGGTGTGCAGGAGGCAGATGATCAATGATTCTCTCTCATCATTGATGTTTCTATCTCTCTCCATCTTCCTTCCTCTCTGAAATCAATAAAAATATATTTTAAAAAATTCTTTAAGTCAAATATATCAAAAAATTGAAAGGCAAGTGACAAACTGAAAAGTGCAACATATGTGTCAAAGGGTTAAGCTATTATTTAACAAATTATTATAATTAGAAAAAGATTAACCCATTATAATAAGCAATTCACAGAAGAAAAACAAATGATCAGCCCGGCTGGTGTGGCTCAGTGGTTGAGCATCCACCTATGAACCAGGAGGTTGCAGCTCAATCCCCAGTCAGGGCACAGGCCCGGGTTGGGTGCAGGCCTGCAGGAGGCAACCGATCAATGATTCTCTCTCATCATTGATGTTTCTCTCTCTCTCCCCCTCTCCCTTCCTTCTTGGAATCAATAAAAATATATTTTTTAAAAAAGAAAAACAAATGATCAATAAATCCATGAAAAAATGTTTAATTTCATTGACAATAAAATACATGTTAAAACAAGTTATTTCTAATTGGAAAATATTAATAATACTCTGCTGATGAGTGTTGTGAGTGGGAGTAGAAATGCTACAAATTGGTATCAAAAGCTGTTGGCGGAGTAACTCCAATTCTACTAATGCATCTTAAGGAAATCATTACAAATGTTCACAAAGTTTTTCTATAAGAATGTTTATCAAATCTTATTTATAATAATGAATATAGGGAGCAACCCAAATACCTAACATATAGGGATTGGTTAAAAAATTGTGGCACAATGAGGTACTATGTGACCTTTGAAATGGATGTGTACGTAGCTGTTTATTCATATAAAGGGACT